CTGTGCTTCCAAGTGAGTTGGGAAGCAAGAGGTTGTGGAACTCCGTACACAGAACACATTTCAGTATTTTAGCTGTGCAGCATGAGTGCTGTGTCTTAGCATCACAGAATCATTGAAGTTGGAAGGGATCCTTAAAGGCCAACAGATCCAACTACCTTGCAATGAGCAGGGACACCTACAGCTACATTAGGTTGCTCAGAGCCCCTTGGGCGTCTCCATTGATGGGGCACCCATCGCATCTCTGGGCAACCTGTTCCAGTGCCTGCCGGTCACCTACTGTTAATTATATTTGGTAAGGGGCAAGAGAAAGGAGAAATGATAAGCAGGCACAAGTAAATTTTGCTTGGCTTCAGACAGCTCACATTTTAAGATAGTAGAAGCCTCCAGCTCTGATTGTGTTACATAAACTGCAAGAAAGAGAGCTTCAGTTCATCCCTGGGCAAAGCTATGGAATAGTTTTGATTTTAAAAGCAGCTCAAAAGAGCATTAGAACGACCTTGTCCCGATTGGTCATTGAACTCCTTTCTCCCCGAGGCTCATCCCTTGTCAATACATTATCTGTGCACACACATGGGTGAAAATACATGGCACAGAGCTGCACTGGAGAAGAGGACAGCATGTCTGATTTACACACCACCACTCACAAGGTTAATTGCTGCGTTCAAAATAAGCAAGGCCACCGGGCAGCACGTTGTCCAGACAGCTTCCAGTGCTGGCTGGGTCTTGGCTGAGAATCATAGAATCATCATGGTTGGAAAACATCATCTAGTCCATCCATCACCACCATGCCCACTAAGCACATCCCTGAGTGCCACATCTTCGTGACTCTTGAACACCTCCAGGATGGTGAATCCACTACCTTTTTGGGCAGCCCGTGCCAGTGCCTCACCACTCCTCCCGAGAAGAGATTTTTCCTAATATCCAGCCTGAACCTCCCCGGCGCAACTTCAAGCCATTATACCTCTACTCCTACGGCTTTTACCTGGGAGAAGAGACCGACGCCCACCTCGCCACAGCCTCCTCCCAGGCAGCATAAAGCCATAAGGTCTCCCGGACTTCCTCTCCCGCAGCCCCGAGAGCCCAGCACAGCCCAGCCCGCTTCCCCGCGGCCCGGCCGCCCTTACCTCTCCCCGCGCTGCGGTGCACCTTGACGAGCGCCTCGGCGCCGCCCCCGGCCGGCAGCTCCCGCCGCAGGTAGAGCCGCCCCGACGCGCGGTCCACGCCGAGCGGTGCGGCTCCGGGTGCCGCCAGCTCGAACCACCCGTCCGTGTCGCGGCCCCGCGGCAGCGTGAACACGGTGTCTCCCACCCGCGCCCCCGGGGGCAGCCGTGCCGAGTACCGCCGGGGTCCGGGGGACGGCGAGCGCGGCAGCCGCCTCCTCTGCTCGCCCGGGCCGCGCACGGCCAGCGGCGGGCGCGGCGGACGGCCTCGGTCCCGCGGCCGCACCCAGAGGCTGAGGCGGCGTGACGCCGGCGGCGAGTCCGCGCTCGGCACCCGTGCGCCGCGGGGCACCGCGAAGAGCGGGCGGCCTCCGGCACCGGGCGGCCAGGCACGGTAAGCGAGCGGCGCGTCGGGGCTCTCGTCGCCGTCCGAGGCGCGAAGCCGCGCCAGCTCGCCGCCCCGCGGCGACGGCTCGGCCGCCTCCAGGCGCGCGGCGGGCGGCGGGCGCGGGCGGCGGTCGTAGCGAGTCGGAACGCGGACGCGCGGCAGTGCTGCCCGGGGCCGGACGGCCGCTCGCAGCAGCGGGCGGTACTCGGTCCGCGCTCCCCGGTCCGGGCGCCGCGCCGTGCGCGCCTCCAGCTCCCCACGCTCGCCCCCCGGCCGCCGCTGCAGAGGCTCCCCGGGGCCCCACAGCGGCACCCGCGCTCCCCGCACCCGCGTCTGCACCAGGCTGTTCTCGGGCACGTGGCCGGAGAAGCGCGGCAGGCGGGGAGCCCCCGGCTCCGCCGCCGCCCCGCAGAGCAGCGGCAGGGCCAGCAGCAGCCCGCCCGCACCCAGCATCGCACCGAGCTGGCTTGGCGCTGCTCCGAGCCCCTCCACGTGCAGCCCGGCCCGCACCCCCGGCAGCGAGGAGGGGCTGAGTGAAGCGGGATCTGCCCGCCGCCGCGTCCTATGGGAAGCTTCGAGCGAGGTCATCGCAACGCCCCAACTACGTTTCAGTCTCTGGGAGGGATATCCCGGGGAAAGGATTAGCGGTGCTGCTCGAGTGCGATACTGAAGCCGTCCCACCGAGTCAGGGAAACAAACGCACCGCTTGCTTGACACCTGAAGAAAGCAACCTGGGCATGGGATCACCGTGGTGGTTGTAACGCAATCAACAGAATCACAGAATCATTAAGGGTGGAAAACCCTCTAAGATAGTCTGATCCAGCCATCAGCCCACCCCCACCATGCCTGCTAACCACCTCCACAGTTTCTGACCACCTCCAGGGCAGTGACTCCCCACCACCCATGGCAGCCTGTGCCACTGCCTCACTGCTCTTTCTGAGAATGTTTTCCTATTATTCAACCTGAACCTCCCCTGACATAAACTGAGGCCATTACATCCCATCCTACCACTAGAAGTGTGACCCCAGGCCAACGACTTTCCACCACTCACCAAAATGAAGGTCACCTATTTCCTCTAAGCACAGGTCCCAGCAGCCTCCCACTCCTGCTAACATGCAGCTCAAAATCTGCTTTCTCCCAGGGACAGCTTGGGAGCATCCTTTTGCTGAGCCTCTGCATGCAACTGGCTACACAGGGCTTACATTTATATATTGGTTGCTGCAGCAGGAGCTGACGGCCAGGCAGCTGTGCTGTAACGTCAGTGACAACGCACCCAGGCTGGAAGCAAAACTGTGCTCCAGTGCCAGGTACAGTTGCAATCAGCACTGGGCAAATACTGTGGACACCCAGCAAAGTTGACAGCCAGGTGCTGGTGCTGAGAATGAGCAGAGCTGGGTCACCACATCCTGTGGTGTCCTGGGAAAGCAATGGGCTGACGGCTCCTGCCCACTTCTCGGGATGCTCAGGATGAGAAGACGGGCTGTGAACCCAACCACTTCCAGCAGTGGTTTGCTGCAACGCCACAGAGCTGGCCATAAGGATCCAGCAAGGGGCAATTCACTGCCCAAGGTTTGAGTGCATCCCCTATACTCTCACCTAAAAACATGAATAATTCCTGACCTCAGAAAGGCACCAGGAAGATAACTAAATTGTGGTCCTTAATCTGAGCCAGCCACATCATGAGCATTAGCCGTATTATTTTCAACACCCAATTGCACAAAGTCATTGCAATGACAACAGATGTACGTGCAGATACATACTGGTGGACACAAATCTCACCCTACAGCGAGATGCAAGCACAACAGAAGTGCACTTGGTGGTGATGACCAGCCCTCAGCACTGCTCTTGTTGGAGTCGGGCAATTTATACACATCAAGTACATCTTCTGAAAAGGGAAAACTTATTTATAATAGGCCGTGCAGATTCTTTGCAACTATAAAAAAGGACCAAACTGCATTGTTTTGTTGGAAAACAATACTGATATGAAGAAAACACCTCCATTGGTCTCTTCAATGAGAGTCATTTTCCTCCTGGCCATCAGGGACAGCTGGGTTCTGCACTACTGCATCCCCTTGCCAGGATGCTGCTGAGGTGATTGGGTGACTCCTGTGCAGCCATCTTCCAAAGGAACTTGGGCATCCTGTGTAACTGAAGGCACAGAGAACCTGGTGCAGTATCAAGCAAAGAGGCAACCCCACTACAAATAGTGAAGTGGCTCTTGGCTGTGATAGGAAACAGGAAGGAATAAGTGGAAACTGAACAAACTCCTCAGAAAACATGAGGGCACTGCCAGCTCCTGGTGCTGAGGATCACAGTGAAATTCAGCTTTGGGATCCTTCTCTAGCAAACATGAGCTCTTCTTACCCCATTTGAAGGTCGGGCTCTGACAGAGCTTCCTATGGTGCAGCACAGAGGAGCTCCATTCCTGCCTGTCCTTTGCCAGCCTTCTGAATGAGGGGAGGTGCCACAGTGGTCCTACATTCACCCTCATCTTACAGAACAGGCTGGTTGTCTGACCAATTCTTATATCCGATATTTTTACCGTCTTTAGAAACTTTGGATAAAATATTCTCAAGGTTTTCTTATTGTTATATAGTAAATTATTGTAAAATTGTCAGCATTCATTCTAATATCAAACAACAGAAGGCTTCAATCACAAACTGTAAAAATTCAAGATATGATACGTGAGTTAATTAAAAATCAGTAAGCATTTGATGTTGCATTGCAATTCATTTCCAATTGGCACAGATACAAAAATTGGCTTATTACTGCAATAGAGAAAGGTTAATTCATTGTGAACTATTAAATTGGTGTCTTCTTTCCTCAAAAAGGTATCAGAATGTCAAAGAAAACATAAAATGGTTTGTGACCCAAACATCACAGAATCATAGAATGGCCTGGATTGAAACGGACCACAAAGATCATCTAGTTTCAACCCCCCTGCTATGTGCAGGGTCGCCAACCACTAGGCCAGAGCCACATCCATCCATGCAATTTTTTGGCACAGCAAGTTTGTCACAAGAGAAAAGTATTTACTATTGTTTACTATTTACACATCATTTTGATAAAATACCTATCCACAAAGCAAATGGGATGAAAGGAACTGGATTCCTTAGACTTGCTATCAAATACTGCACACAGATCTATCCAGATGCCATCCATGCTACTGCTAAATGTCAACATTAACAAGTGTAGCATCACTGATACTTCCGCTTCCTTGAAGTGAGTTTGAAATCTCAACAGGCGTTAGCACCCATCTCTTCTCCATCAGATAAGAGGTAACCTCACTGCTTGGAAGGCAGGATTGCATATGGGTTATTAGCCAGGAAAACAGCAACATGGCTGGCAGACAACCCAGCTGCATCCACTGACTGCAGGAGCATCTCTGGAAGCAAGGCTAGTGAGACACAGCAGAAGCTCTAGGAATTAGAGGCACAGGAAAGAAACACCAGTGGAGTTGTTTGTTTGTTTAATAAAAGCTCGCAAGGCACATATTTCAACTGAATTGCAACATCTACAGCAAAACAGATCAAAATTTGCAAAACATTCCCCCAAACCTCTGAGGAACTGAAACCCACGACCTGGGTTGAAAACCGAGCTTGGGTTGTGTGCACCAGTCAGGTGTGGTTATGCCCCATGGTTGTCCTTCCGAGGGATGTCACAGAACTTACTGTTTCCATCTTTTCCCACAGAAGGTGGACACTAGAGCATACAACAGTATTTTTGCTAATCCATAACTGGATAAGAAATTCAAGAATATCATTTTCTTCACAAGATATGAATCTTCCATGCCTTCTGACCGGGACAACAGTGATGTTTCCCCCAGCAAAAGGCTCCTTCTCTGTTACTTAAGGCTGCTGCGCCAATGATGCTGCAACACAATCTTCTCTAATATAAAAAGCAAGGTAAAAATCTTAAATGATTCTCTTTATACAGAATCGATTGAAGTATCAAGAATACATCTTTATGACAAAACTAATAGTAACTATGTCACAGTTCAAATAAAGTTCAACATGTTCATCCAAACATGTATGAAGGCCAATGTGCTACAACATATGTAATTTCCTTAGATGTACGGTTGGCCTCATTTGTGTTTCTCTTAACATATGTGCTCTACATGTAAGTATTCAAACTACACTCCATGTGGTCACACATGCACACAGCGTCGCTGTAAAACACAACAGGCAGTCCAGGATAGTTGATACGCTGCACCTTGGTGTGGCATTATAAGGCAAGAAGCCATAAGTTGAGCAGCTTCATCCACCCAAGTGCAATTGTAACCCTGAAATGTGGTACCTGGTATGCCTTATTGCTGGTATGAAATAGTGCTCATGAACAATCAGCCACAAGAGAGCAGATCACTGACACGTAGACATGTAATTCCAGACAGTGATTCAAACAAATTTAAGTTGTACACAGAACTCTACACTTACTTTCAGTTATTAATTCCATAGCACATACAGGGTTCCTGATTGCCTGCCATAACCCAAGTTAGTTCACAAGCTTATCTTGATACTGTAATTGAAAAGTCTGAAACTGTAACAGTGCAGCAAAACATACACACTTGTGCATAAGCAAATAAACAGGCTGCTTTTGGCCAGAGAGACATGCACGCTATCCTGAGCACAATGACTGCATCCCTAGAAAGGATATTTACTTCCAACATATAACCCAGTTACGCTGATAAATGCTTCTCCCAATGATCGAATCGGGTATTTTTGATGGGTTTATCTAAGCACTGGTTTTAAATACAATGAATAATTTTAATACTTGGTCTAAACTCACAGACGTAAAAATATAACCAGATTAAAAGAAAAAAACAGATTACGGACTCGTTGACATTTACAACAGTAAAGCTTTTCTCTTTTAAATCACTCCAATAGTGATAACAGATGTTTAGAAACATCAGCACTATTTTTCAGTGTAAAGTAAGCAACATATCTGCATACAGCAGATAGGAATCATGCATACACATCAACACGTTGCAGTTCCTAACAATTTCAGAGTCAATCCCTCTGAATTTGCATTTTAATCAGCAAATGTAGTAGGGTAGTTTTGCAGCTTTCATTTACAGAATGGTTGTTCAGTTGAAGGTTCATTCTATTAAGCCAGATGTTTCTTTAAAGACATCTGCATCCCAAAGAACCATTCCCACATGCCTGACAGACTGGTCTCTGGGCCAGGTGCTACAAGAATCCATAACTGCATAACTCTTGGTGATGAGGACTCTCTGCCAGAACTGAAGTCCTGGCATTCTGTCCAGCTGCACCTACATCAGCCAAGTTCTGATTACCTTTTGTTGAGTTTTCCATTCACAACACCAGGATTAGGCCCAGAGCTGGAATTAAAGCATCATTCATTCTCTTGAAAGAGAGAATGAACCTCAGCTAGCAACAAAACAGGATGAACAGAAAATTCAAGGAAGTTGCAGAGACAAATGGGGCCATATAATGAAGGCAAATTTTGGAGGGAATCAGGACTACAGAATGTTTCCCCATGTTTTCAAAGTTCCCAGCACAGCTGCATAATTAATGTATAAAAAGCTATGAACTACTGTGCCACTACTGATTAATGATGGTGATAATAGTGTTTAAAATTAGTTCTGACTACCTTAATCTATCACAAAATAATTAGTTGAATGAAATGACCATCACCCATCCCTTGCCACACACACACACACGCACACACCAGCTTGCACACAGGAGTGAAGAGCAGCAGTCTCAGCAGCAAACCTAGTCATCATGCTACACCTGTCTGAAGTACAGCATAGTGTTGTATACTGGCCCATTCTGATGGCTGCTAAAACACACGTATGCTCAGATGCATACATATGTAAGCATGGAAGAATCCTGAAGTCAAGCTCTTTCCAAACTGAAAATCTGACTTTGTCAACTCCTACAGCTACGTCCAAGTCCAAGCACTTCCTCCAACACGTCTCCAACAATGCAGAGATCAGTGCCTCAGTCTATGGCACTGTTTAAATAACATCTTCCTTATTTGATTTATACAAATACTTTACCTACACATAACATGTATGAACGTGTTCAATAAACAAAGCAGTGTTTATAGTGGAAATCAGGAAGAATAAAAAACCACAGTAACCAAAGAAAACATATTAGAAATATTAAACAAACCCAAACACTTGATGACTTAGGATACACCACTTATTTCTTACTAGAAAATGGAAACTATGTGACTTAAATGAGCTCTTCAACATAACTTTTTCCAAAGTCTATCCACATCAGCTCTCTAACACTGAAGTTAGAAATATCTGTTAAATGAAGATTAAGATGGTTTACAGTGGGAAGACAAATGCAAGAACATGGAAGACTGTCACACTTTCTTGTGGAGACTGTAAAATTGTCAAATTTTCCTGGCTCCTTCAAAGAAGGCATCTGTAACAGTTGGTCTGTAGAGTTCAAACAGTTCCAGTTTGGTGGAAAAAAAACAAACCCAAAAAACTGGTCAGTACGCTGCACCCACGTGTATCTGTAAAAATAATTTTCTTAATCAAAAGGAATTTTTCCAGCTGAATTCCATCACAGTCAATCCTCAAAAAAAAGCTTGCATGCTTTGTCACGACTGGAAGGATATCACAGTGTTGATCCTATACACAAAGTAGGATCTATTCCAGTATACTCGAGTGAAATAATTCACATATGGAGAATAGTTCATTTTGATTTCATGACAAAATCGTCCATATTTTGAATAGGCATAACTGTCACCTTCCTCACAAACCACCTGTCAGGAAAGAAGAGGATCGATTAAAATACTGAAGATAAATGACTGCAGAATGCAATTCTGTACATTCATTTATTTCTGCATTCTGTACGTTTCACTTACACTACAGATATTTAATTATATCCCCTTACAATTTGTTTTACCATCTAAAACAGACTTATGAACTCATACATCACCTCCCTACCTTTTCCAACTGCAGAAGTTTGCAGGGATTTAAAAAAAAAAAGAAAAAAAAAAAAAGTGGTAAGACAAATTCATGCAGAAATATAAATAAATAAATCCTTCAATGTCTCCCAGAACACAAAGATAGTTTCTCTCACTGAGAAAGTCCTTTAGCATCGTGCTGCTGGAGAACATTTCTGTCTTGCCCTGTACAAATCGTAAAGGCTTACGCTCTTAGCCAGGGTCAGAAATAAGATACTGGGCAACAAAAATTTATAGTCCAATTTAGAAGTTACTTAAGTGGTATTTAATGCCTGGCATAAAAGCAGCGCTGCTCGATATTAATGTATTAGAAGGAATTAGGACAGGTAAGGAATAGTATGAGGTAAGATTGCAGTTATGTAAGAAACAGATGACTCAAAACTGAATGGATCGCTGTTAAGTCTCATGAGTCTTTGTCTACACATTATAATTAGAAAAATAAGATCAACACTACAAGAATGTTTCCTTTAAAATGAGTTCTTTATGCATTCAGACACTCACTTTTGTCTTGCTGTTACTTACATGACCATTGGCAATATCCAATAGATCTTTAACTCTACATCCTCTTACTGGTCCCACTTCATTGCAAATTGAATCTTCAATGATCAAAAAATTGGCTTTGTAAGATGTGAGAATCTTATAAATATCCTCTGCTGACCTCTTTGAATATATCTGATAGATCTATAAATTAAGAACACATTTTAATGCATGGTAAAAATCAGTGGAAATTTAAAACCATGAAAATGGTGGTGAGCAAAGGATGACTTATCTTTCATAAGTTATACATGCATTATATGTAGATGCCAAGCTATAAAACATCTATTTTTGAAATTTCTAAAGCAGGTGAGGTAATGGGGAGCTGAATAGGAAGCATTTGTCTCTGCTGGAGTAAGTTCACATTTTACATACTTACACTGGCCTGAAAAGTTTTCAGAAAGAATATTCAATTTTGTCCAGATTACAGCATAGACAATATTCCCCTCCCTATTTGCTGGACTATCCCATTTCTTCTAATATTTTTGGTTTTTTTTCCCCCATTATATAAGAGGAAAGCAGCTCCTATCAGTTGTTTTCCAAGCCAAACATCCTGCTAGAGACTTACATTTGCCTTCCGTAATCCTGAAGTATTCAGAGTGAGAACTGAGGCTGAGTAGCAATTTTGATTTCTTGGCCAGTCAGAGACAGGGTATGTCCATTCTGCTTTGTGACTTTCCCCCCAGCAAAATGTATAGAATAAAAACTGCTCAGAATCACTCAGAAATGACAGCCTGCCTAAAACTCAATATTGTCATACTGCTCAGTAAGGAATCTTGTTCTTGGGCTTACTGATTATGTAACAGCGTTACCTTTCTTTATGATGCTTCATGCTCTTTTTTCACCTTAGAATGTGAACATTTGGGGGAAAAAGAACTGGGAACATGGAAGAGCAATGCAAATGAGTACAGCATGAGGAATATCACAAGGTCATTCTCTTTGAAGTGTTAACGTCTACAGTGCTCCCATACATCTCGATCAGGCACTTGAGTCTTACAGGATGGAACAGTCTATAAATCACTGGTAATACATACGCATTTATGGAATTGGATACTCACATTTTCATTTCTTTTTAGAAGATCATCATCATTATATAAAGGCAAGCTTGACACCATCCATCCTGTACAAAGCTTAATCACACCCATTAATTGTGGGCTGCCTGCAAACACAGCAGCCACAGGAGCTTGTCTTCTGCAAAAGCAACATCAACATACATGTCTGAGTGCAGGACGCATTTCTCAAGATGATACTTTTAATAACTGTACAAATCTTTGCAGATGCTATGGCAAGAATTGGCGTGCATGATGATACCCACAAAGAGGGGGACAGACTTTTTAGCAGGGTCTGCTGTGATAGGACAAGGGGAAATGGAGGGGACATTTAGATTGGACACAAGGAAGAAGTACTTTAGAATAAGGGTGGTGAGGCCCTGGAATAAGCTGCCTGCCCAGTGAGGTGGGGGATGCCCCGTCCTTGGAGACATCCAAGGTCGGGCTGGATGGTGCTCTGAGCAACTTCATCAAGCTGCAGGTGACCCTGTTCATTGCAGGGAGTTAAACTACATCATCTTTAAGAATCCCTTCCAACTCAAATGATTCTATGATCTTTGGGGGTTTAATTACAATTGGCATTAACACTCTGGTAGCATTGGTTTCCCTACTAGGAAAAGCACAGACTTGCAGCAATGAGGAGTTTGCAAGGAAGGTCTCCCCTGAGGGTTAAGAGCTGGTGGCCATCCTCCCCTCCTTGTTATTCATGAAGCACCACTCAGAGTGGTCCCAGAATGGATCAAACTATTGCTTTTCTGAGTGTTGCTGTCTCGTGACAAAGCAAGCTTGAGATGGAGGGCAGGTAGGCAGCGAAACAGCATGATGTTATCTTGTAAGCGAAAGACTTGTGGTTATGCTCATTTGATTTGTAGGACAGTGTATTTCATCATTTCTGAGTAAATACTGTCATACAGAATAACATCTACAGTAATTGTTTCTAGAATTTTATTTCATCTTTTGATCATTCATATTGCAGTGCTAGTGAAAGAAAACAACCATTGTCACACTTTATTACAGATCTCCAGCAACTTTTCCCACAGAAAAAATTCAAGCAAATTCATTTTATCAGGGAGAAAATCATAAGAAAGTATACTTATAATAATGACGTTCAATTAAAATTCCAATATGGATATCTAAGCATAAGCACTAAAAATCCTTTTCATTAAAAATATGAACAGCTGCTACAAATAAGGGTAGTCAAATTGCTCTTAGCTGAGTGAATCTCAGTGCAATTCCCCATGATTAATTATGTACTTGAAGTGTAATATATGCAGACTAATGTAAAAGCCATTAGGTACTTGGCATTATTCCACTTGCTGCCTTCAAAAGCTGCAGCAGTGACAAACAACATACACTACTATTAACAGAAAGAAGAAATTGGCTGGAACACCATAATTACCAGCCTTGTCTTTTCTGAAGATGAACAGGTTGACATTAAAGACACCATAAATACAGAAAATAATATTCTTTTAAAAATGCATTTAAAGGTAAGTAAGTTATTTGAACACAGGGGACCTCATTTTCACAGAAGTGCAGTTACTAATGACACAGTTCCAAATTAAATTGAATAAGGCCAGAATCTAGTTCTGAAACTTTTGGTGAAGATAAAAATATATCTGTGAAGATATCCTTGCTCTAAGCTCAGCATTTGTTATGCCCTACCTAGCCAGCCAGATAAGATCCATTGCTGCCTTCTGCTCAAAGGGGAAGTTTGAACCCCACATTGCACTCCATGTTTCCTGACTGAAGTCTTTAAAATCTTTACATCAGGCATTTGTTTCACTGGCTTCTGTACATCCTACTTCCATTGTTTCTCTCCCTTGTGGCATTATAATCTATACGAATCCTCTAACCCACTGAAAAGTCAGCATGTAAAGAATCAGGATGTAATGGATGCACATCTTTCTTTGGAAATCACATCTAGTAATGATACTAAACGTAAGTTGACTGCATATTTCAGGATCTTCTCTTGTAATCAATGATAAACTCCTGCTACTTTGCATGGGAGGAATACCAAGCCTAAAATAATCATTTATCTTCCCATTTCCCTCTACATCATGTAATGACTTGGCAAGGAAAAGCTCAGATTAATGTAGGTAGCTCCACAAAATACTGAGATAGAAGTACCCTGGCAAAGAATTAAAACAGAAGCGCAGAAATTCATACTTACTTTATCCACGTCATAAGCTCTACTGTATCAGGATCATAGAATTCTTGTAGTTCTGAAAGCTCTGTCATTATCCTAGGGAAAAACTGATGGAAACGTTATTTGATTACAACTACGCCAGACTAAAGGGACAGCCATAGTGGATAAGACACCTGGAAATGGGAACCTGCTTTTCGCTGAGGAAATTCCACCCCATTACCGGTCTGCAGACAGACAAATTAGGATAGCACAAGAACAGCTGTCCTATGTTAACATGAGAGTTGTAGCTGTTATACGTATACCTGCACCATCCCAGAAACAGGAAGAGAGAGAGAGAGAAAAAACACCACTCCACCCCCAAAGAGAACCACCTTCAGTGTTCACTCAGAGCCTGTAGAAAAATGCAGGTGATGAGAGACTGTGCCTGGCTGAGACAGAAGGGCAGCCAAGCAGAAAGATGCCGAGCTGTACACTCATCTCTTCAAAGGCAGAGTAACATAGTACAAGTCTCAGGGCATTTGCACTACCCTCATCCTAATAATCAAACTTTCCAAGTGCAAGGGTGAGTTGAGAACCCGGAGAGCAAATGTTCGCTATTGCTTAAAAGCAGAAGTGGGATTGCCGAGGGATGAAGCCCTCTAGAGTCCAAACCCCCACACTGCTATTATTAACAAGTAATCTGTAAATGAATTCTTTCGCCACTAAGTTTTCTCTATTGTAACTGATGGCATAATTTTGAGCACCTTGAGCTTTTCTTTCCCCCCCTCAGGAGGATTATCTGTTACTCTGATAGAAGCACATAACGAGTTGGATTATGCTGCAAACAAATTGTCTGTTAGAGACGGGTATTACAGAATTTGTACAGTTAGTGAAGATTCATATTTCAATGCCTTGTAAAAAATATCTGAATTCCTATAAAGCTATTCAGAATAACTCTTCTGAATCTGTCAGTACAGAGTACTGTAGAGAGTTAAGGGATATATTTTCTACTTTTTTCAAACTTGTAGAAATTTTTAAAATAATTTTCCAGATATTCTTCTCCCTGCGTGCCAGTCTGTCAGGCAATGTGACTAGAAGTAAAGAACCAAATACTTCATTTGAACAAGGACACATCTGTAGATTTTTTCTCCCTGTATTGGGGTAAGGGTTTAACTCCATTATAATCTGACAGCTTCTCAAACACGTTATTTGCCTATGACCTTCCAGAATTTTACTGCCGTGTAACCTCTCTTCTACAAAGAAGATAGACACACAAAGTGCTTTTCAGTATTCCAAGTGTTTATTTGGCAATATTTTCTTTGTTGAGTCAGTTCACATATTCAAAGCATAAAAGCTGAATGTAATAATGTCTTCATTTAAATTCAAATGCTTCTTAATTACAGTAAGTCACTGTTACCAAACTGAACTGTTAAACACCTCATACTGAAAAATTTAAACAGCTTTGTTTAAAAAACAAAACAAAGTAAAAAAAAGCCAGCACATTTTCAGAGGATGTCAGCTTTCATTTCACCTTGACATTATATTTGCTTGGTGTTTTGACTCATATGCTGCCTACAGACAAAACAAAACACAGAACAGCATGTTGCTTACCTCTTTCCACAAGCTGAATCCAATTATTGTGGGAACTGCCATACTCAGAATGAGAGCCTAGAAAACAGATGTTAGAAGAAAAGGATTATGGATTGTTCTCCATTCTCCACCTCAACTATGCTGATGCTGTTTGTATAGCAGTAGGCTACATTTATGCCTGAAACTTAAGAGTCACTGCAGGTGAATCACTGCAATTTTCTACCAGGAAAAAGCTTTCTGCCAAAAAAAATTGTCTAACTTGGCACCAAATAACTGATTTGAGCCATGCTATATTTACCACCAATATTAGGGACCGTTAATTACTGCTCATCTAAGAATGAATGAAGAAAAGTAAATACCTCTCAGATACAAATACAATGCAATAATTTGAAAAATGAAAAAAAAAAGTCTGAAACAAGCATTTCAAACCTCTGATCTTAATGATGCTTTCATTCAGATTGACAATAATGACAGGCAAAAAACAAATTCATTCTCCAGCACACCATCATTCTAGCTGGCATATCCCCTCCACTTTGCAAAAGGAGACTAGCTCACAGAGTACAGAAAACACTTGGTAAAGAGCATACACAAGGCATTCTCATCTGTTAACACAACTACTACATGAAAAAGCAGGTCTATATAGCATGTAGCATGTAGCATATAAATCAGTATGTTTAATATGCACGTGAATATATTTTTATTTTTTACTGGAAGGACACTGTCAACATTTATGATGCAACATTAAATGGCATTTGCACAAGCGCCATATATAACTCCAAGTTTTAAATATTTATTCTTCTTAGTATCTTGAAATTAGGGTAGAGTAACACCCCATCCTCATTTCATTAATAAAACAAATGTAGAAAGGTGCCCAAAGCCACTCTCATTCCACTATGAATAAAGCTAGAGTTGGAAGTGGAGGAGCTGTTTGCAGGACATCACAAGCTCATCTTTAGTTACAGCACTTTTCTGAAATGGTTACACCAGAACACATCTTACACACAGTAACTGCAGCTACTATTTCTCAGGAATGTGTTTCACTCTCATCTACTAAATACACCTAACTACCACATTTTAGCCAAATTTCCTAGTGAAACAAGGCTTATGCCAATGCTTGTCTGCATGCCTATACTTTTTCTTGTGCAGTTTTCCTGCAGAACATTTGACCTTCTTGGCCAGACTCAACTAAATATGACAGAGAGCTTGAGGTCTCAAAGATCTATTAAAAGAAATCAAATATATCTGAGAAACAGAGATAAAGATTGTTCTGCTCCTTGTGAGGAAAAGGCTCTGCTTTATCACCAGGTACCAGAGAACATGGGAAAACATGCTGTTAGGAATGCAAGACAAGAAAAAGTAGACTATGTAAGATCTACTGCTTACAGAACTGCATGTTCTTTTAGTGGGTCTTTCTTTAAGTCTTACGTAATTGTTGTTGGAAAAGTGATATGACAGTGAGCTGTAATTTCCAAGACATTGGCAACAGCAGCTCACCAGTAGTATCGGATGCACAGCTTTCAGTCTCAGCCACTTGAAAAGTGTCATCCAAAGTTCAGGAGAGCACACACCAAATGCAGCAAGCATGCAAACATACGGAGTCCACAGATATTTCATTCTGAAAAATATTGCAAGAACTTGGTTGGCACTTTGCACATGTCATCGTATTTTTTTTCAAACAAGACTGGATATGCAAGCAATTAGATCTAATTTGATGGCATTGGAGGGCAAAACCAAGGAAATCTCTAGCAGGAGAGCAGACACCTGATCATTTGCTGTAAGATGTAGAGGTATGATCCCAGGTCAAAGATAACAAAATCCTTCACAGAGTTCAGGGGAGAACGAAAGAAACAACAAACAAGACTAGTAAAGTCACTTGGCTGTTACAGTTTTCCAGCCAAAGACAAGGACATTCAGCGAAGTTGCACAGATGCTGTATTATAAGGGATCTCCTGAAGGAAGGGAAGGAAAGGAAAGTATTTCATAAACAATTTACTATTTGCTGTTTTTATCTGCCTCTTGAAGATAGACAAGTCAAGACAGCTACTTGACAACACAACACTTTGCTCACTTTAATAATTTATGCATATTCAGATATTAGGATGATAAATGTAAAGGTATAAACATGACTGCCACTTTCCAGCTGATCTGGCTGAGAGCTACACTGGAACAAAAAGGTTATCCAAACATAAGCTCCTGAAGATTAAAGAACTAATACTCAACACTATCTTTGATAATTGTTTCACTGCTGCTTAACATGTGAGACAAAGGTTTATTCAGTGCTTTTCTTGATACAATAAGATGGTTGACAAATGTTCCATACCTTGAAGAACATTCAGTAACATACACTACCCATTCAAACACTACACAAGATCTCACAAGAACATAATATTCAAAGAATGACAGAGCACTTCTATGCTTAAATACCACAAGGAGAGAGATTCAATATTCTCTAATTAATTTCTTGGCTTTTGGCTGCATTAAAGCTTACAAAATGCATTGAAGAGACCAAGCACGATTCATCATACTTCTCCACCCAATTTATAGTGAAGATTCTCTTTGCTACCTCCCCTACCAACTAGTACCACTGTATGCCAGATACATTTCTGAAAAGACTTTTGAGTTGTAGATAAATTTGAAAGGGGCAAATAGCCTATCACATCCAGTTAGGAAATCTCTGTTGCTTTCAAAAGAGATACAGCAAAACAAGACTTACCCTTCCAAACACATCGCTAGAGAACCAAGTAAAATTGTGTGAATTACATGATAAACTATTTCTGGCCTCTCTCCAATTCGACCATCCTCAAGTTTAACTGTCTCTTTCAGTGGTTCACCACTGCAGTTGGAGAAAATGAGACATCACTTAATTCAGACATTATCCCAGGCAAAGGTGTCAACAAAAATACTTTTATGACCACTAGGTAAGCAGTACACTGAGATCATTCTGTGTCATATCACATACTATTGTTTGCACTGCTTATTTGGTTTTTGATCTTTGTCAGTGATCTATAGGTACCTTGTATTAGACTGCAACCTCTTCAGACCAATGGCTGTGAATTAATACAACAGGATCACCATCCATGACCATAAATTCTATTTATGGTGCTTCAGCAACAAGAGCCAACCTAATTCAAGAGCATGCAAACTCCATAAACATTTAGATGAAGCACTCTGTATGCGTGTTCTAAGTTCTTTCATGTCATTAAGTTGTTGAAAAATTACAGAGCCCATATTACTATACATACACATTTTATCACAAAATAAGACTACAAAACCAGTTGTTTGTCACACTACTAGAACTTTCAGTACTAAATTGCAAATAAAAAAACAATCACAACCAAAATCTTACAATGAATGTTTTTCCGCAAACACGATAGCGAGGCGTGTGAAACACATTTTCTTCTACCATTAAGTGATACCAGTTACAAAGTTGTAACAAGTAATTAACTGCTTCAAAATCAGAAAGTTTTTACTGTGAGGAGGGAGAAAGTTTATTTTAAACTCTTCTTCAAAACCCGTAGGATATAATGAAGTTCACAAAGCAGTACATAGCTAATAGAGACACTAGCAAAGATCACAACAGTCTGCTTCATTGTTTTGAATTTATCATTTCACCTCCAACATGACATACATTTTCACTTACACCAGTATAACCTGTATCTATTGAAAGTCTTAGTCCTTGAAAAAAGAAAAAGAAAAAAAAAAGCTATTGATTTTTGCTGCACGAAAGTGAGAAATTTGCCCTAATACCTCAGCAGTTATACCATTTATCTGCTACCAGGGAGATGTAATTTCCCAACCATTCAGCTTCCAGGATAAATGATGCTAGCACGTACACAGCCTTGCATTCTGAGTCTGCACACGGACAGCTCCAGTACCCCTTCTCTCAAGGGAACTGTAAATCACTGTGAAACTACAAATAATTGAGTCTGTGCTACTTCAGCTTTGTTCCAAGCAGCAAAGACTTATGAACTTGGTCACAGTAAGCATAATAAATAAATAAACTACATGGAAGCATTAAAATCCTCTCAACTCCACCCTTCTCATTTTTTGCAAAACGAAAACTTGGAGAAAAAAAAAAAAAAACACCCACAGAACCAAAGGAAAAAAAAAGACAAATCCTCCAGCAACAATCCAGGGACTCTGCTGTTGGAAAGGGAAAACAGACAAAATACCTTTCTCACAATGGTAAGAGACATAAACATGTGACAAAATCGAAAGCCAGATCTCTGCAGGAGTTTGTCTTGTGGAAAACAAAACAAAATGAGCAAGTAAAACCAGAGACAATTCCCTACCCTCACTAGAGGGATGCTCAGGAAGCTCTTTGCTAAAAAACTTTCTGCAGAAGCCTTAGGGCTTTCCACTGCTGCCCATAGCCTTGCAAGCTCAATGGTGCAATGGGTCCTCACTTAGGCTGAGCCAGTTACACAATTGGCTATTCACTTTTATATCCAAGAAGCTCTTATCTCTAACCTCTTATATTCCAATAAAAATAAGTTACTTACCAAATTCTCCTAAAAATGACCTGAGTTACAGAAAAAAGGCAGATAATTAATACTAAAATATAGAAAGGCAACAGCGATGACTGTGTTAGCCGCAAAAAAAAGTCTTGGGAGGGTGCCTGAAGAGATTCTTGACAAAGGAGCCAATTCATTGTAAAATTCCTAGTAAGGCAAAAACATCCCATTAAAAACCAATAACAATGCCACATAGTTTAGGAAGAGAAAAAAATAGTACACAACCAAGCACATTTTCATTTACTCATGTCATAGGAAACTATTTGAAATTCATCTTTGAAAAGTGATATTCTATAACTTGAAACTGCTTTACAAGTACTCTTTATAGTAACTGTCAAAAGCTTATCTTCCAAAAAAAAAAGTCTGTGATCCGAAGAGGCCAGACTGTGATTCTTCTATGTCACAAAACCCAGCCTCCTGTATAACTCAGTTATAAGGACCACAAAGAACTTTGTTGTCACAGTGGATTAAGATTCTAGAGATATTGATGGAAGAAGGTATGCTTGTCCTCTTTCCAAAGGGAAAGTGGTCATCTGAGATCACATACAAGCCCAAAGCATCGCCAAGAATGGAATCCACAATGCTGAAATTCTAATTCTGTAGCTGACCCCACTTGATCACTCCTCTTTCTCAGTTAATGAGCAAAAAGACAATATATTCTGCCAAGAAGTACTATTAATGCATATTCTCAACTGGAATTGATGTGGCACATCATATAATGAAAGCATTCTTGTCTTTATTCTCTTTTGCTTTCCTCCCCCTCTTCTTTTACCCTCAAGTGAAGACAAGAGAATTCTACCGCTTTCAGTGAGACAGAACCAGTTTTAGGATTAACAGCAGAACGCATTCAAAGCCTTAAGAGACAGATCTTGAAGTTTTCATGCTGCAAGCCACAATTCCAGCATTTAGTTACACAACTTCCCAGGGGTAGTTGCAACCAGTTTGTTTCAATCACCACCTTCAATGAAGGGTTGCACAGCCTGGAAAATAACATGTAGCAAATTGCCAGGGAAATAAATATATCTGTAATACCTGGTAGCTGAAATAACCCAAATCCTAACCAGAAGCAGTCTTAAATTTTTGTTCAAAACATTTAAGAGCATTCATATATGTGTGTTAAATAGTGCATCTTAGTTAAACTCTTAACATCTTGTCTTCCAAAAATGCCACAACATTTTCAGTTGTGTAATGTCATTTTCCAGTTCTTCTCCTGAAATGACTTGGAGTAGTTTTGTAAGAGACAGATGCAGCTTACAGGAGAGAGTATCAACTCCAAGCAATTGCTGGCTTGGTTCCAAGAGCTGTTTCTAATCCTTACCAACATTACACTTGAAGTTTTCCAGAAAATCTGTATCCGTGATTTCTTCTTCTCACAGACTAACATTCAACTCTTTTATAGATGCAAACTGTTTTTCTTAGAATCACAATTTCCTCTGACTTTTAAGTTGTCCCTTGTCTTAATTTCTTCTAAAACAAACAGGGTGTTTCAGGTGGTTTTTCTTAGAAAACTAAAAAATAAACATCAGTGTTTTGAGGTGGTAATTACTCCCTTCAGAGCCCTGTTTTCCAGCTATGAGAAATCAGGACCACTACCCTGACCCTATTATCTCTGCTTCCAAGTCTCATTAGAAACATTAGATGGGGTACAAAATGTTTTTGCTCTTCAACATGAAGTAAAAAAATCTATGTAAAGCTTTCACCCCCAGGGGATGAAAAAGACAGAAGTGGTTCAGAAACCTCCAGACTTTAAGTAAATTCTATACATGCATCTCTTAAAACTCGTTTGTAAAACCAAATGAAAAAGGTAAAGTTTCTCTAATTCCTCTATAAATACAGACAAGCCACTGAAATTTTATACTTCTCAGAGTAGCTTCAGAAGTTCGAATATCTTATAAGGTGCAAAAAAAAAAAAAAAAAAACTTACTTAGTTGTGTTTAAGCCAAGTTTTATCTCAAGAAACTTCAGCAGATGCTCGTTTTCTTTATGAGGAACAAACATCTGAAAATTAATTTAGCAGAGAAAAATCTCATCAAGAGTTGGAAGCAGTTTTCACTACTCACTTCATTCAGATTACAGATTGGCAGAGAAAAATCAGTTATTTGAGATTGAGTTAGAATGAATAAATTAGATTAAGTATGTCAATTAAGGTATCAATACAGTACTGTAAATCTCCACTTAAATGAATCTATCTTTAGAGTTTCCTGGAGACCATCATACACTGCATTTTATACATGTACCCCAAAGAGAGGGCAAATGAAAGCTGTCAACAAGATGTTGGAAGGTTACTGAGTAATGTGAAAAGGATCATGGAAACTGGACATACATTTACCCCCCGAGCAAGCCAAAGAACACTATGTTTGGCTCCACTACACAGTAGGACTGCAGCTTAGCAAAAGTTGTGAGCATTTGTAATCTTCACATAAATTTTTTGAGCTGCCAAAGTTCTGTGCACTGTCTACGTAATGTAAGTCATATTTTTCAAGATCAGGTTTTATATTCCTGGAGGTACATTAGAGCTAGCTAATCTGAATGGTACAAGAAAACAGCAGGTATGAGAATTCTCTCAAAATTTTTTAGGGTTCACTATGTTCTGAATTGATAAGTTGACACTGTTTATTAATACAACCAAGGTGAGCTTGAGACATAAGGAAAAAGCACTAATTATGTACAAGGCAGAGGTGGTTAAGAGGAAATTACTAATCAAAATGCAAGACCAGGTTAAAATCCCATTGAAAATTATAACCTACCCTAAGACTACTAGCTCTTTTCCATGCACAAAAATACTGATTTACTTTTCAACCCAATTGGTAGAGGTGATCCAAGTTATAACAAAAAACACATTCATAAAATAGCTAGTGTGTGATTTAAAGAATATTTCAATACTATGCTTTAATCTCAATCCAAAAGCTCCAAACCCCAAGCAAAAAAACAGCTGCTTGGGTTGCTAGATAAAATATTTTATAGATAAATACATAGATACAAAATTACTCAGTCTTTAGTATTTCAATTTGCTACGAATTAAGCTATTACCTCTCAGATCAGTATCATAGAATCACAGAATGGTTTGGATTGGAAGGGACCTTTAAGATCATCTAGTTCCAGCCCCTTGCTAGAGCCAAGGATACTTCCTCCTAAACTAGGTTGCTCAAAGCCCCATCCAGCCTGGCCTTGAATGCTTCCAAGCATGTATGATAAGCAGTGCTTCAAAAAGCATTTCCAAGATATAACTGTTGCTTCCCATTTCGATTATAAAATTAAAATAGCTTTGCACAGCAGAATCTTACCTTTAGTAACAAGTTTAGCGTCAGTGTTACTGTGAGCACCAAATAAATGTACATAATTTTCAGCATTCTTGACACAAATGTACCTTTCTTCACATTCATCTGCAAAAACAGTTTAAGAACGGCGTATCACTTGGAGTTCAGTTGAAGTAATAAAATCTACATTTAGAGTTAGAGGAGAGTCTTGTTACCTGAAGGTATTTAGAGAGCATTAAAGCTGCTACAAGACTAAGTAATGGTGACACTAGAAAGGCCGAATTTTCAAACTGCAATAAATACCCCAGGAAGAGAGAAAACATGTAGATTTTGTACACTTCATGCACCTGTCAACAAGAAAAGACAAAATTACAATGGATACACATTCTGCTTCCCAGGGCAGATAGACAGTTCACTGCATTTCCTTGCTAATCAGGAGATCAATGGATACATTTCAATCCTCCAGCTCAGGAGGCTAGCAGCGTACAATCTGGCTGTGAAAAGTATTTCATACCACAACAATCCTGGTCAGCCTCAGGAACAAGCACACCACTGCTCCACAAGAAATATGAAAAATACCAAAAGTAGTAGTAATATTTTACAAGGGCTCTTTATTCTGTAGCACTGTGCTGTAGCAGTAACCACGGTGAAAGCATGAAAACACACAATTTGGGTGAAGGAACTGACTACTGTCAACATGTCCTTTACCTGTCCTCACAAAAATTTGTTCATTTAACCTAAGGAATACATACTCTGCTATTGACACTCACTTTGTTATTTACTAATTGATAAGCAGATATTATAAATTCCAAAACTTGATTCCTTAGAACAAGTTTACAGCTATTTCATTCCCCCTGTGGTCAGGAAATGCACTTCAGCTGGACCCAGGCTGTGAGACACTCAAATCACTACCCAGTGTATGCTCTTTGGAGCAGTATGAGGCTGTATTTCAGTCCTCAGTTATAGGCAGGCTGATGAGTTCTAATACCTTCTCTGACTGTGCCAGGGCAAAACTGTCAAGCAGAAAAAGAGACACGGCCTGGAGAAACAGGAGGTAATGACTGTACTCCCACATCATCATGAAGGTATACGTTGAAGCACTCACCAAAAGGTAACAAAATTTCTAGAGTGAAAGAATGAGAGAGAAAAAAAACAACTTTAATTTGATATTTATGCATCTCTGTCACTAAGCAAGTGAGAGGTCTTTAAACCAGAAATTACAGAAATTCACTATTTTAAAGAAATAATTAAGATACAGAATTCAGACTTATTTAACACCTCAGACAGGAAAAAAAAACTCATTACTGAAACACTGAAAAACATTCAAAGCCAGTCGGAAGAAACGCCTTTGTCAGAGAGAGGAAGCTACCACCATCTTCTCCCAGCAACAGGAAAAACAACAGAATAGCTTACATATTGAGAAAAAATTGGCATCTGTTCATCTTAAAAAGGCAGTGTGCAGCTAATTACCACACTGTTCTCTCTTAACCCTCATTGGGGAGTAACAGAGCAGGGCACTTTTGCTTAGCAAAACCCACACGTTTTCACGCCTAGGTGAAATCCAAGCAGCTGTTTTGAAAAGAACAAACAAAACACCTGTTTTCTGCAGGTAACTACTCTAGAGCACAGTTCTATCACCAATTCTTTATTAAGAAATTAATTTTCTTTTACCTCTGCAGAACAATTTAGGTTTTTTTTTAAATAGCCTGTGAGAGCTGCTACTTGACATGCAAAATATGGCAAAGCCCAATTTTCCCTTGATGGTATGGAGTAATCAATTCTTGTTGTATCTGTCCTAGAATAAAGTACAGACAAACAAAATTATTAAAGATTTATGGAACAAAAGTATCAAGGAAAGCCTAAATGTTACTTTTAGTTAGCACCGTGGCCTTGCAAGCAAGCTATTCCTGTAATAGGTTCGAAGTAAACTCATACAGTTTTGCTGCTGATACAGGTCACAAATCTAATATCAGCACAGAAGGCCCAATCTTTACTCCATTACTAAGCACAACTCCTAGTGAGGTGGAATTTACAGGACTGAAGCCAAGAAGCAGGGCCTCCAGCCATTTCTGCCCACACCTCCACAGGAGATGTCACATTATGGTGATCTCGCTATGGATACAACAGCAGCTTTTCATGTTACCATGAATATAAACTGAGAGAAAAGAGCACTTCCATTTCTCACACAAGATGTTTTAGGAGTGGATTAGGCAATAGAGCACAAGGCACTTAGAATCCAAAGCAGTGCAACACCACCAGATACTTTGTCTACAGGGAAAACTCTGTCCAGAAAACAAGAGATTAAAGATGGACAGGGAGCATGGGATAGAACAGCGGGGTCTTCTTGTGGGATGACCTGACACTATCTGCACAATTAGAGCTGTAAGAAAAAGTTATACAGAGTGCTACAGTGACTGAGAAGCACAAGCGACACTTTCAAATGTGATCAAAGGCACTGGTTTCGGAGGTACATGGTCTTCTCTGCGTCTACTATGCTTCTAAAAAGGAGCCTGAAGCTCCTTCATCATTTAGATATTTGAAAGCGTCACCTTTCATTTTTACAGCTTAAGTATCTCACAGAGATGTACTTGGAGCTTTAAACTACTGGATCTTTCAATTGGTTACGTGTTTAATATTCCTTGCTGTTGAAAAAAGAGACAGATTTATTCACCATTTTTCCTCCTTCTCACTGCTCACATCAGGTTGGTGAACAGTATTTTTATCTATTAATCATAGATTTGGTCATGATGACTTCACATTCCAAAAAGATGTAAATACACTTCTCAACAGTTCAGCTCTAAAGGTATATCTCTAATACTCGTCCTGTGCATAGCTCTTATCTTTTAAAGGGCCTCAATTTTTTTTGGAACTAGTAAGTGCTGGAGTCAAGGCCGGATGCGGCTCTGGCAGCCTGGTCTGGTGGTTGGTGACCCTGCCCATGGCAGGGAGATTGAAACCAGATGATCTTTGAGGTCGTTTTCAACTCAGGCCATTCTATGATTTTATGATAAGTGCTCTCAAGTTCACAGAAAGTCCCAGAGCTATCTGGTGACAAAGCAGGAACCAGACACAACTGTTGGCATCTCCTAAATGAGGTTCCCTGTCACTGTGGTGCTTCATAAAAGGAAGAGATACTTTCCTGCAAACAAAACATTCAAGATGAAAAAATCTTGAGGTCAGAATCATTTAAGAAGATTCTACGTTGCACAAAGAAAAGCTACAAAAAAGCAGATTAAAAAAAAAGGAACAACAAAAAAAAACAATCAAAGTCTTTTTACAGAAAAAATGTGCTTGGTCATTTCCTTCAAAGCAACAAAATAATGGTCACAATGTTTAGAGCTGGTCGCAGACAATAACTCCATTTTCAGCAACTTCAGAAATTTGTTTTCATTCTTCATCAGAACAAAACCCAAACCTTCTGATGAATGTTTTTGCAAAATGGAACTGTGTGAAAATATTCATGTATTCACACATGTTCACAAACTTAGGCCAATTGTCAGCGTGGCTGGTTTGGACAGCAGAAGGCCCTTCCATTAATAAAAGCATCATCAGAATCTGTGCATCTCTGGGAAACATTCTGTATTCAGGACAAGAACTTGCTCTCACAATGAGAGCACCAAATTTAATAGAATGCACTTTATTCCACTCTAACATTTTCAAATGCCTTATTAAGAAACTACATAGTATAAAGATGTTTTTCTTACCTGTTAATAATGAACCATGCTACAGTCAGCATTCCTGCCAGCCAAGTCCCACTCATAACCCAACTGGTTACAAACAATGCAGTCACATAAATTCCCTGCAGTCCAAAAACTATACCAATGTAGAAATACACTGGTTCAATAACTTCCTGAAATTACAAATAAAAATGAAGAGACATAGCAGCAACTGAGCTGAAGCTGGAAATTATTGCTATTTACTGCTTGCATACTGCTAATGACGTGCTAGATACTTCACAAACAGGTAAGAGACAGCTTCTATTCTAGAAAAGAACCAAGCATGCTTTTATTGGGGCTCAGGAAGACAAAGCAGTGTCGACTGACAGCACACTCAGAACTCAGCTTGCTACTGCTATGACTTTTGCATGTGCTTATAGCACCAACATTGTATGTGTCAGATTTGGATAAAAAACCATACTGCAGTGGGACATAAGTTTATAGGACTACTGAAAGAAATCATGCAGGAGAAGAACTCTGAAAAGTAAAGATGTAGCAAAAATGGTTCTAAATACAGGAGAGTACATATATATAGGAAAAACAAACAAATAAACAAAGAGATAAATGATAAATGAGCAAGTATAAGGCAGGACACAAGCATGCAGCATAAGCAGAACAAAGCCCATGTGGAGCAGAGAGAGACAATAGGTACAAAATACAAAAATGCAAAAATGTATTCCCCTTTTACCCACAGGGAACGGAGACAGGTACCAAATGTCAGTACTCTGAAGGATCTAACTTTTTATTCTGAATGAGTAGCACAGTTATTCTCAACATTTCTAAGTGGTTTGTAGAAGCAAAGAAATATCAGACAGAAAAGTATAGTGTATATGAACCCCCCAAAAAACCCTACTCCAAATTCTGATGAGAACTGAGGAGAACATGAAGCTGGTGGTAGGATTAGCTCAATTCACTCAACAAAAATTGCATGTATTTACTGTATGCAGCAGAGAAAGGCACCCATGCACACACTGAAAGCAGAGAAAGCAGGAGAAATGCACATACTTCACTACCAGATGCTTGATATAATACACTGGCAATCAACTCAGGGTACAAGGTCATCTGCTGGAATGCATTTATCGTCTTCAGTGATACTGTCTTATTGTTGTGTGTCAACTCATACACACCTACAGACAAAAGAAAATATGTTATTCTTGGAATCACTTACTACTGCTGTTCTTGAAAGGGTGCATGTATACTCAAAGGTAGGGGGAAACAGATTTTGACCACTGAAGCTACTGACTGATTTAACATTTCTAATTTTAAAAGGAAGAAGAAATTATTGATTTATATGTCAATGCATCCTACTGATACTGCAATTAAATTGCTACTGTTTTTTGAACTAGTGTTTAAGCAGAAGGTGTCCCCATGCCCCCTCTCACCCCCCCCCCCCAAAAAAAAAAAAAAAAAAAACAACCCATAGTCTATTCAGAAACAACACAATCATGCAGTCCTACAGGTCACCTTCACAGGATGTTCTTCAGAAGTGACACAAAGATCTATGAGGGATGAGCAGGATGCATTAAACCTGCACACACAAAGAGGTCAGAGATGATGGCCTTCTCAGTCCCGCATTTCTGAGAATTCTACGAATCTCTCAACACAATACACCTCTTATGGGATTGAGATAAAGTTGGCATACTTGTAGGATACATCACTCTCAGAGGTATTATAACTAAAACAATAACTTGTCATTACTTGGGACAATGGAGGGAAGGGGAATAATATTCCAACTAAAAAAAAAAAAAGAACAATAACCCCAACAACAATGAAACAGCAAAACAAGATTACTGTTTCCAGCTCCAAACATATCCTGGTGTGTGGTCTGCAGCTGCTTCTCTGCAAGCCAACCTCACTCTTACAGAGCATAAAACACCATGCTCAGCATTGCCATGACACACCTCTGTAAACTGTGTGCCTCCAAAATACCAAGCAGACATACAAGTTTTGCAGAGCCAGCTGCAGAATGCCCACAAATAAGGCAGTCCATCCGTCCACAACAGCAGTAAACCTTCCAGAGATAATGAGAAGCTAAGTACACCAAAGCCCTATTGTACACTACTGGCACATGCTACAAGTCAGCTGGGAAACTGCTACCAAAAAGACCACACCAATAAAGTTCAAATTGCTTCAGATTCAGTTTCATAAGAGGATCGAACTAATTCAATAGCTTAATTCTACAAGGGAGAGCTGCTCGCTCCTCCCTCCCAGCATTCTCACCTTTCCCCTTGAGCTAACCCCGGTGCTCTTCTGAAGTCACTAAAATAGCAAAAAACTGTTCAAGCTTCTTTTCAGTGATTTAATTTTCCACTGGTTTGAGGCCATGACACAGATTACAGATGGGAGCGAGCTTCAGAGCCAGTGCAGGACAGAGAGCTGATGCACAAAAGGAAAAGACACCACTGCAACCAGCTTCTTCTTGTCCCCCGAGGTTTCTGTCCCCCTTTCTCTCAATCTTCATCATCATCTATTCATCAGAGCTGTCAGGTTTAGGAATGGTTGGCAGGGACAGCACTGAGCAGATCAGTTCTTGACAGAAACTGTTCTATCTTCTGACAGGGGACAAAACAGGAACTTCCATCCCACATTTCAAAATTAAATAAAAATCAGTCTTCCAGGGATAAAAATCAACTATGCAGCATAGGCAAACCTAACAATAACTATGGGACAGTATTGGCATAATATCAATTTCACTCTCCAAAGTTCACTCAGCGTGCAGTTTTTAGTTTCAAACCTAACAAATTACAAGAGTACTTGTCTCCAAAAGGGGAACAAGACCTTTCAAGGTTAAGAAAATAAACATTTTTTGTACCTCTTTCAAAGGAAGGAGCCTTTAGCAGTTCCTTATAGAACGAGTAATAAATGGCGCTGTCACCCTGAAATGTAATTTCTCGTTCAAGTTCCTAGGAAAAAAAATAGATAGATGTATATTCACCTGCAATCTCTTCTCATAGAAAACCATACATTTTTAGATAGACTGGTTTTGTAATACTGCACACAGTTATGACTCCACTGTACATCTCCAAAATATTCCACAGAACATTAATCTTCCCAGCTCCTCCATCCAGTATATAACGCTCTATAACTTAGCAAGCATGCTCGGAAGGAGAGCAACTGAAATCCATGTTGTAAGTCAGTAGGAGACCCACAGGATCACTTTATAGTCACAGACCTGAATTTCACTTAACTTTCCACAATCCACTGAACAACAGTTCTTATGGCACACAACCAGACGTTCAGCTTATACTAAACACAGTTTATCCCAGCGCGTATTTTTTTCCTCCAAATTTTAGAGAAGTTATTTCAACTAATCAAGATGAATTAAGGAAAATCAGATAAAAATATGACTACACAGAACTGCTGCGAGTAGGAGAAACACCAGTATTTAAAGAGCTATTTCAAAGACAGAGGCCCGAGTGGAAAGGCACGGGATTCTGAAAGCGAGCAGTTCCAAGCTGGCACGGATCAGCTTTGATTTCAAGGACACAATTTGGCTTTTGTTTCAGTAGTTTAACTTTTTCTTTACCTGCCTGCTGGAAAACCAGAATTTCCGTTCATGATATGTGGAGAGGTACACAGCATACATCATTCCACTAGTGACTGCCGCAAGACAGCCAAAGAAAAGTTTCGCAAAACGCTGAATTAACATATCTGAAAAGGGACAGTGAAAAAGCTAAAATAGTCCAGAGGACTTAAAAAACACAGAGCATGCCCTAAGTACGACTTGTTCTGAAGAGCAAGTAAATATACCGGCATCAGAATTATCAGCACAGATACATTGAGAACTGGCTTGTTATTCCTTCGCCGCAGTTTTCTCTCTTGATTACTGCCACTGCCCCATGGGCCTTTTGCATAAAGTGCCACACACTGCATTGCAAATTTATCACCCTTCTAACAAGCTTCAATTGTAAAGGAATTTCAGTAACAGAAAATGTATTACAAGTAAAGAGAGAAAACTCCAGGCTTCACCCAAAACACTGTAAAATTCTTAAACACATCAACAGAAAACACATCTATCATCAACATCGAGATATTCTGTTCTCAATTCTTCTTTTCTAATGTAAAAAGAAGGAAATAAATTTTACCCGTTTCTTTCCACTAGTATCTACCTTCCCTGTAGCTCCCTCAAGTCAGTATGTGCTTTTAGCTTAAAAGCTTTTGGTAACTCGATGAGCGTTTGCCTGAAATTACACCTGGTCTTAGTTCTGTGCCTTGAGAAGCTGTAGGTGCTCTGTGTGTGTGTTTATTTCAGCATGATTATTTCATGCTTTTCAGCTTCTCAACATAAAGATAACTCCAGATGCAGTTAAAATATTTATATGTGCTCAGATAGACAACAATCAGATTCGTAACATCCTCCCTTCAAGTGAAACAACCCAGGAACAGCATTTTACTCTGCAATACATAACGTGTCATTAGTGAAGAATTCTAATGTGAATGCCTGTTTTTTTTTAAAGTTCTGAATTCGATTTTTGAATAAGTCTGTTATAAATTACTGCACTAGAAATATATTCCCATAAAATGTAAAAGAAGAATGAATTAAAAAACAAACAAACAAACAGAACTTAGCTAAAAATTCTGTAGCTTACATTTTGGCGATCTTCCCAGCTTAGAGTTTTCTTTGTTTCTCTCCTCTGGAGCCATTTTGTCAGATTCTGTGCAGTTTTGTTTCCTTCTCTGTCGCAGGTCTGCTGCCCCTGAGGACATTTTTTAGGAAGTTATTGCAGCAGTATTCCTAAAATCACACCCTGAGAAATCCATGCGGCAGCAGGTAACAGCCAGTTACTGCTACCGTTCAGCCACACAGCAAACATATTTGACAAAAACCAGTGTTTTTGTCTCAGCTAAAGTACTTCACATACCTAACTAAAACAGTGTAACAATACAGAGATCAATCTGTATGCTATTCCTTTGAAAACTCAGTCAGTTTCTCTGGAGGCCATACTATGGGACTGCCCAGAGCTCAAACTGGAAGTGAGCAGTTTTATTCCGTGGTGAACATGTTACACAAAGGAAGGAAAGAGCAAGAGCAGGTAAGTTGGCATGGACACTGGGACAAATCAGTGCCACTTCCATTCAGGTTTAACTGTAACGACACTCCAGAATTTCCATCTCACTGACCTACTGCCCAACAACGGCAACAGAACTCCAACCAGTGCTCTCTTCCCTTTCATACAGCTGTTCCACTTTCAGCTATCTTCCAAACCCCAATAAAGCTGATAACTCTACTGGTATATTCACATCAAAACTGGTCTGCTTTTAAATCCCAATGCTTAGAATCGTAAGATAGAAACAAGGCAGTAATATAAGCAAACTGTTGAACTGCTGCCTGCCCAAAACAGTGTATCTGCATTTGTGTTCTAACAGGATTTTCTAACAACTGCAAATTATTCTAAACAGACCAAGATCTCAATTGTACCATGCTTCATGGAATGAACAGAAAATACCTAACTTCTTCCACAGAACATGGATCAGAAAACCATTAGACAAAACCATGTTTAAGTCATTCAATGTCACATTTACCATGATGTCAAACCAAAACAAAAGACACACTGGTACTTCTTCATGTGCTGTGCATTCAGTCAATCAGCAAAGCAAACACAGCGCGCTGCAGCATGAAGTCACTTGTATCATACAAGATAACACTGGAGAAAGTGTTTAGATCACCAGAATAGTCAGACTGCTTGCAAAGCCAACTGCCTGGCCTTATCTTCCTGGTTACAAGCAAAGCTATGGAGTGAAAACACAGGAAGAAAGTGCATTTCCTACATTCCTCTTAGCACCTTAGTGAGCCAAACCGGGAGTGTAAGATGCCTGTGAAGGCCAGGGTTAGCAGCAGTAACAGAAAACTTTTAAAGAAAAAGTAAGTTAAAATCCTAATTCTGAAATGGTTACACCTCAGTCAGCAAATAATGCTCAGTAGATCGACCCCTATACCCCGAAAAAAACCCAGTAATAACAAAAGGTCTAAGCATGCAATTTCTGTTTCATTTGCAGCTGCCTCCAGCAAGAACAGTGTTATTTCTACTCCTATGAATCCTTTACATGGGGAGAAATTAAAGTCAAACAAGGTGATGACTAAAAATAATGTAGGAGTCCGAACTGATGACACAGCCTCTGTCTAGTACCTCTCTATTCAGCAAGCAATTTATCATCCAAGATTGCTCTTTAGTTCCCTGCAAGTTCTCATTATGTTTTTAACTCTTGCCTAGAGAACACACTCTGCTTAGTTGTGGGTATCTCTTGCAGCCTCCTTGCTCCTGTGTGCCACACCAGTAATCAGTCTATTGCCTGCAAAGTGACTGCTGTCTGCAGTTCTTGTTCTGTCATTGAACAACAGAGAAGTGGGAAGCATTCAGAGAAGGACCAAAAGAACAATCAGGGGTGCGTGCGATGACTCCTATACAAGGCTCAGCGTGCAAGTTAGGCTATGATCATTGGTCTGCAAAGATGATGGGATCTGCATACAGCCCTGCTCCACACACGAGGACACCGGAACCGGCTTGTGGCAAACTGTGCCCTGAAGGGCTGTTCCTACCAAAGAGTGCTCCGTGCACGAAGAGCTCACACGGCCCCGCCAGCGGACGGCTGCAGGAGCACAAAGAGCCGAAGACTTCTGAACACACGGAAATCACCACCAACTTGGGATGCCCCGAGCTGGGGACAGCCGGGAGACGCAGTGGGACAGCGCGGGGTGTGCGTTTCCCTCCTGCGTTTCTCACAGCGCTCACCGTGCTTTTCCCAGGAAAGCCAAATGCCATCTCAGCCCCCTACCAAGGGGGACGGCCGAGCGAGACCTGGAGGAAAACGAACGCGGAGCGAGCGAAAAGTAAAACATAAGAACGGGGAAACGGAGGGGATGCGGAGCCGAGCAGCGCCCGCGGACGGCGGGGGCCGGGGTGCTCGCTGAGGGATGACGCCAAGAGGGCTGAGCGCAGCGCGGCTGTTGCTGCGCGGCAACGAAAAGGAGGAGGGCTGGGCTCGGCGCAGGGGCGAGACGGAGCGTCCCCGAGGCGGGAGCGGGCTTCACCTCCTCGCAGCGCCGCCCGGGGCCGGCGGGAGAGAAACGCGAGCCGCTACGCCGCTACGCCGCTACGCCGCGGCCGAACGCTCCGGCCGGGCCGGCCCCGCGCCGCCCTCCTTCCCCCCGTCACCCGGAGGCGGCCGGGCCCGCCCCGCGGCGGCGGAGGGGTCGGGATGGGGGTGACGCCCGCGCCGCCGCCCCTCACCTTCCTCCATCCTGCGGCCGCCGCCCGCCGCCGGGGCCCCCCGCCGCTCCGCGCTCCGTCCGCCGCCGCCCGCCTCTCGTCGGCCCCCCGGGCGGGAGCGCTCTCGCATACCACGGAGAGCGGGAGCACCGCGGCCCCGCACTTCCTGGCGCCGGTGCCGCCGCCGTGCCGCTGCCGGGCGCCCGCCGCGGGGGAACGGTGGCGGCGGGGCGAGGGAGGCGGCGGGGCGCGGCGCGGCGTACCGAGGCGGTACCGAGGCGGGCGGCGCGCTCTGCCCCGCTTCCGGGGGAAGGCGCTGCCCCTCGGTCCTGCCGGCCGCGGAGCTCTATGGAAAGGAGAACGCGGTAGCGCCGCGCTCTGCCGCCTCCGCCTGGCGGCCCGGCTGCAACCCTGGAGCCGCTCCTCGCGGAGGCGGCCGTGCAGCAGTGGCGCTCAGTACGGCCCTGCGTGTTTGTAGCAGTCGCTCTAATGTTTCCCATTGCGGCCTGCTTTTAGGGCAGGAGGTCTTGTTTGGGTAAAAGACGGGCGACGGACGAGCGTAAGGACGCGGGGAACCCGGCGTCCCAGTTATCAGCGCCCCAGCAAAGCAAGGACTTGGGGGAATGGGGTTATTCCCTGTGCGCTGCCTGGCAGTGCCCTCAGACCCTAAGGGTTGTCATGAACAGCTGTGTGGAAGTTAACAGAAGAGCTGGGAAGTGTTGCGTTTGCTGACAGGACTTCAGTCTTGGCAGGAGGAGTGATTAAGGAGTCAGTGACGTCGGAAAAGACCAGTATGATCACCTGGTCCAACAGCCACCCCTGCCGTGCCCACTAACCACGTCCCTCAGTGCCACATCTCAGTCCTTGAACACCTCCAGGGACGGTGACTCCCCCACCTCCCCAGGCAGCCTGTGCCACTGCATCACCGGCTCTTCTGGAAAGGAATTTTTCCTACTATCCAGCCTGGGTCTTGGGATGCAGCACTGCCTGCAGCCAGGTTGCAGTCCCATCAGCTGCTGGAAAGCAGATTGGGTTTCTTGTCGGGCAGCTGAAAGGACAAACTAAACCAATTCGTGTATCCTGTTGGAGCGTAAAATGAGATTTATAGGTTTCCTGGATTTTTTAATGAAATTTAAAATACTGCTGCAATTGTTGATTTATTGGATAGTTAAAAGAGTTGCTTATGTTTTTAATGATCCATAAATTACCCGTTGCATTTTTAATGTAGATGGTTTTTATCTGTTTTATTTTTTCATAACTTGATTCTATTATAAGTTACTGGAATGAGCACAAATAATCATCGTAATCAAAACAACAAAAACAGTTTTAAATACTTGTAATCAGACCATTAATACATGGACAGGAGCAAAACAAATGACTGTACAGTTATGCTGTAAGCTTCAGTCATCTTAAGCCTTCTTTGTGCCACAGCTTCATGCCGTACCTTGTTCCATTTCTTGTGCAATGCTGCAATGTGTCCAACCTGCTCAATTGTTTATAGTTTTTTCCAAAGTATTTTGTGGGAAAATGGAAGTTAAGAGAATCAAAGATCATTTTTCATGCAAGTTTCTTTCCCTAAGCACAAATGGGCTGAAATACTTTTTTTTTTTATTAATGTTGAAAATGTTACTAATGCTGCTCTTCAATCTTTCAAAACACTTTCTATAACTGGTGTTATATGCAAGTTCTTTCATTTGGCAGCTTACTAGGTATCCTAAACACAGTGCTGTAATACATTAAAATGAATAAATATAGGGATGTTGTGTACTTTTCCCAAGCTTTCTCAGTAAAAGAATGAATTGTGTATCTGTGTTTTGGCATTAGTTCTCTATTTACATACTACTTCCAAGCCCTGCAGACATAACTTTTCTTTTTGTTTACAAGTCCACATTATTGATGCTTTCTAGTTTAAAAATATTTTTTCCTCTTTTAGAGATATCATGAGGCAAACAATATACAGGTGGACTTTAGAGTAAAGCATTAATATTGGGCGTATTTGTCATTTTTCAAAAGAGAAGAATCTGTACTTGTTTATTTTGTAAACAAACATACAGATACATATTTTTCTTAAACAGAGAAAATACTTCCCGTGCCCCAAAATGTTGTAAAGTTTAATTGCAGCGACTACTGCAGGTACTTCACCTGTTTGGCCTTTCTGAGGATTAATTTTGTGGCTGTTCTGTGATATCAGCATCCCAAGTTTTTGCTTATTTTAACTATTTCAACTATTAACTACTAACCCTTTCCTCCTCAAAACTGTTTGTTCTGCTGGGATGTTAAAAATACTGCCTGGATAAGATCAAGGTTTTTCATGGTGTTGTCCCATCTGATATGGGAAATTCAAGGGATTAAGTCTAGGGAAAAAGGGAAGAGAATGACAGCATGGAATCGTTACTTAAAACCAGAACCAAGAAGTCAGAAAATTAAACCTCATAAAAAGAAATAAACTGTTGAAAACTCTGTGTTCCCAGGGTGTGATTTTCCTGTTTCTGTGTCCTCCTCTTGTCCAAACCCTATTTATCATGCTGGATAAGTAGGGTGTGGACAAGAAATTGCCAGGTTGGGCAGTTCTTGAAAGCATCAGGTGCATCTTCTGTGCCATGTTTGTCAGAGGTGGTTGCAGGAAGCCTTTCTATTAAGATTTTTTTTTTATAGAACCATAGAGAACCTTTGGGATTTCTCCACCTGTTTAACCCTTTTCCTACTTTACAGTGCTTCTGATCACTTCAGCTATTGCTGCATTGCCTAGGATGTGAGTCAGATTCTACTGACATCTGCTTCATGGTAAAACTCAATGCCCAATAAATCAACACAGCTCATTTGCATTTGCTCTAGTGAAACCAGTTGAATCCTCTAGTTGTAAATCTGTGGTTTGATTTCTACTGGGGCCTTATTTTCCTTATCCCTTGTACCAGCTCTTCACCAAGGCAGAAAGCACTGCTGATGTGGTTATAAAGACCACCTTCCTCTTTTGCTGTCTATCCTAACTCTTGCACTTGCCATGTCTTCAATGACGAGTTTTCCAATGCTGTCTCTGAAGCAGCAGGAGATCTTGCATGCTCATTTTGTTTCCTTTTCTTGCCATTCCTGGTGCTTCCATGTACAATTTGTAAGCCAACTGGTGTTAGGGTCTGTAGGATGCTGTGCAGCCTCTCATCCTGTTCGTGTTCTGTTCTATCTCTCTCTAAAAATATGTTAATCATCTTCATCACTTTTTTGTACCACCTTAAATAACTCCTCACTCTTCCTTGTGTTTTTACCCTCCAAAAATGCATTGATGGTTAACATAGTTGCCTTTATCCGACCTACAGTTTTCTTTCTCACTTCTCATCTTAGCAGCATCTTTAGTAGCTTAGTGGTAGTACTGGTGATAGGAGGTCGATCGGACTAGATGATCTTGTAGGCTCTTTCCAACTTTGTGATTCTGTGATCCTATGATCTTTCCTCCTAACATTTAGCCATGTCAGCTGGCAAAGTGCTGTCTTGCTGTTAATTTGAGCTCACTGCAGCATGTCAGAATTGTTCAAATTGCACAAAGCCAAGGAACCTCTGAGGAGAGCCTGGCTGCTGCTGCCCATGTTGCCATTTGGAATGTGTTCTAGAACATTTCTGTACATGCAACTCCAAATTGTGCTGGACCTTAGGGCTGATAAATAAAAAGACTCAAGTGCCTGCAAAGCACTGTATCAGTAATAAGTTCGTGGTGAAGGAGCTAAAGAAGAACTCAAAACACATGAGTAGTTCTTTATCTATTCTATTCATTTATTTCAGCCCCCTTTTAGGGATGTGACTAGTTTTCTCTACCGTTTTCCTCTCTCTACTCTTGCTGCAATTCTTGTTTGTGCTTGCGACAACGTTCCCCAGGGCAGGAGCCTGACCCTTACATTTGTAAAACATGCAGCGTATGATGTGCCTGGCCAGAAATAGCTCTAAGGCAGCACCAGGGGCTGGTACCAGTCTTGCCCTTTGCGTGGCCTCTGTGCTGTGAGACAACAGTGCCTTGCCATCACCTCTGTTCCTCCCCACACGCCTTTTTCTCTCTGGGCCGTTGCTTTGACTTTTATCCAAGGATAAAGGCCTTTGAGGTGGATGACTCACAGCTTGGCACTTCCTTTGACTCACACTTTGCCACCTAGGACATTGGTCAGCTCTTATGAAACTGCTATATATATATTTTTTTTGTAATTGCTTATGACGACACTCACACAACTCATATCTCTGATTTCACTATCACTTCTTTTGGTTCAGAGCTGTACTTTTTCATGCCATTTTTTGGTGACTCCTATCTCCCTCCCTGTGGATTTATTTGGTAGCCTCTGTGTTTTACCCATCCCCTGCAAACTGCAGAGCCTCTGGGGTCTCTCCTCCTTGCAACCCTGCTGTAGGGGCTGCATTTCCAAGGGAACAAGCAGTCTGGACCATTGCCACCCTATGCAGCAACACTGCCCCTTCAGCAGCTGTCTGGCCCAGAGCAACTCCTGGTGACACTGGTGGAATGATGGTGCAATTAGTGGCATTTCATAGGTGCAGGTGATTAGGTCTTGGCAAACACTTCAGCTGGTGCAAAA